ACTGGGGCGTCGAATTTAGTTCATAGGTCGATACACCATGTGGATGGGGGTAAACGCCCAATCAAACCACTAATGTTTGGGTGTGCTTTGTACACACCATAGTTTGAAATCAGGCATTTAGGCCGACTCCCCTAAGTTAACTGCCAGTGGTTCACCCACCCGGTGATGATTTTGGCTTTTCGTTCTCCCACTTAAATCGGGAAGCGCTTATGCCATGTGAAAGCAGTGAGTAGGGCTCCCTCATGAAAGGTTTTTTGAGACGGTTAGGCGTGATGGTGAAGCAGAGGCTTAGTCGATGTCATTATCTTTCTTTGAACCCCGCCCCTGCCACCCAACTTTGGTGGTGGGCAGCCCCTCTATCGTCTGGTTTAATGCTACACCTATCCTAGAGGGGCATTGGGTGGTACGCCACTCAAACTCTTAGGGCTTAGGCTCCTGATTTCCATCCATGAATAGCAGGTCTACTTGACCGTGGGGTTAAACACGTCCACTATTCATCAGACAGATTGTGAATAATGAAAACAGGAGCATTCCGTGAGATTTAGGGAATTGTGAACGGTCTTAACTCAAGATACCTACTCTCGACCGTAATGAAACTTTCGGAAGAAAATATTCTCTTGGCATTTTCAAGATACACGGTGTAATTTTTAATAACTCAAGAATAAACCCAGTTTACAAAGATTTTTGTTTGTTGAATAGCTGCTTTATAACTTCTGTTCATTTCATTGATATGAGCTAGACCCGCCAAAAAGCCGAACGGACATCATCTTCTTTCGAATCCTCCCCGTATTGATGGGCCCAACTTTTATCGGAACGAGTCCTAGTAGCACCACAAACTCAACATTGGTTCTAGCATTGGATCTAGTATGATGATCAGAATGTGAAATTGCCACTCGAATGACAAACAAAAGAAGAAATACCGATAACGAGAGAACCCTATCCAATTTACTCACAGAGACGAGAATTTTCTTTCAGAAAAACTGCTTGATCAAGCATATCTTCCTCGGCTTCAGCGGCCTTAGCGAGCTTATCAAAATAAGGGTGGCTAACATATACGTGACAAGTGGAACAGGCAAGGGAGGCCTCACAAGCGCCTTCGACCTCGAGATTGTTCCTTTGTAGTAAGTACATCAAATTCTCCCCAACTTTGCCTTGAATAATGCACCTTTGTCCGTCACGCCGAATCACGTGTACATTCACACTGGTAAGAACGATGAGCAAAATAACGTTTCACTCACAGTTGATCACAGCCATCTGAGCTTACATTTTGACCACCAACGTGAAGAAGCTGAACGGAATACAATCAATTGAGGATTGAAAAAACCTTTGATGTTCTGTGAAGCCGACGGGTCAATTTGAACGCGAACGATGACGAGTGAGAAGACCATCGGAATAATAGCGGTAACATGGAGGATCTGGAACAATGTCATAGACAGCACTAATTAAAATGAAATCAAGTTGGCCTGGTGATGATGCAATTGTGAACAGAAGTTGAGATAAATAAAGTAACAGGCAAACCGGCGCAGCAGTAAACATAAGCAGATAAAATAAATAGGGTGAAGTGAAACTAACGGAAGTTTCGACCAGAGCAAACTTGACGTTGAAAGTTGTCCACCTTCTGGTATTGATCCATAGGGTTCCGTGAACTCAGACTTCCTCATCCGTGAACAATGTTTGTCAAATAGAGGCAGTGCGAAAATTCCCGTATAAGCCACAAAACCCAGACTTGAGGTCTGCATTCAAGACTGATCTGCATTCCACATTTGGCGAAGGTGCTTTGCACCTTAAAAAGGCAAAGTGATGCGGCAGGACTGGGTTTCATCTACTCCCGCTCTGAAACTGAATGGCCTGGATTGATTTATGGTGGACTGCTTTTCCTACTGGACAAATAATCCCAGTTGACGCTAGTCCTCCATCTGAACTGGAGGTATCTCGGGAAATAAGTTATCTCAAAAGGCATAA